CGGACGCCAGGCTCCGCCCCGGCTCTCGCCCCCGCCATCCCGCCGCGTTTCGCGCGCTAGGCCCCTGACGTCAGCGCTCCGAGGCCAATGGGCGCGGGCAGCGGGGAGAGCCCGCCCAGGCCCTGGCCTCCTCGCGTAATTTATGCAGCCGGGGTCTCATGTGCACCGGGGACGGTCGGCTTGTGGCCCGACGTTCTGGTTCCCGGGGGCTCCCCGGGAGCGGCCCTGGCGCCTCGCGTCCCCCAGCAGTGTGCGCCCAGACTGTCCCCGCCACCCCAGGGTGGCCGCACCCTTGGGCTTCCCCCGTCGTGAGCGCAGCTCCGACACCCAGCCCACCCACCGCCCGCGCTCTGTCCAAGGTGCTGCCGGCCCGGGAGCACTCGGACGGTCCAGGCCGAAGCCTGCGCGCCTCCAGTGCCAGGGGCGATCTTTCCAGCGCGCGGCCAGACGCCCAGGCCTTTTCGGCGTGCCTGTCGCGCCCGGCTCCGTCGGGTGAGGTACTGCCCTTCGGACCAGGCTTCTTCGAGCTTGGGCTCGGCCCAACTCGCTGCATGTTATCGCTCACAGGCGCACCCTCGGCACCGCCCAGGACAGGCAGGAAACGCAGCGTGAGACGGGAAGGAGGTCCGGGGAGAGTCAACCCCGCGTCCCGCGCGCCGTCCACCGCAGCCAGGCCCGGAAGGGCATGCCTTCTTCTGCTTAACCCACCACAGGCCATCCCTCCTGCAGGACCCCGTCATCCATCCGGCCGTGTCCACCGAGGACCCCTGGCCTCTGTATTCCAAGCTGCTCCACCAAACCCACTCAGTGAGTTAAACAACCGTCCTTTATTTGCATAGACACGCCCAACTCTCGGCTCCAGTACCTTATTTACATAGCTCCTCCCCACCGCCCAGACCTAGAGCCAACTAGGTCCTTTATTCCAAGTCGGTAGCTGGGTTTCGGACCACTGCTGTTGACCTCTGACCTGTCTCTGAGGGCAGTAGCACAGGCCCACCCCAAGAGGGACCCAAAGGCCCCTGAAACCAGAGACACCCTCCCCACATCAAGGTCCACGGAAGCGTGGCCTGGGCTCCTCTTGCCATTCGTCCTTAACCCCCCGGGCCCCAGGGTGAGGCCAAGGTCTGGATGAGCACCAGATACTGGCTGTCCACCTCTCGTCTTCCGGAGATGACCCGGAGGCCGAGCCGCGGGGGCAGCGTGCGGCTCGGCGTCACAGGTGTCCCTCCGCACACAGGTGGACCCCGCGGTCAGAGTCAGAGAGCTGAGATGAGTGAGCGCAGGGACGTCTGGTTGGAGCCGCTCAGGGGCCGGTAGCCGGCGGCTGGACCCTCGGCCTGGGGGTCCCCGGGCGGGCAGGGCAGGGCCACCCCTCGGGGCCGGCGGTACCACACGGCCCAGCTTTTCCCGGGGCGCCGGGAAGGCCCCACGGCCAGGGGCCCCTTCCCCGGAGCCAGCACACAGCTCCTGGAGAGCGAGCAGACGTCAGCTGCACCCCGAGCCCCGAGCCGCCAGCCTCCGCGCTGCCCTGCCGTCGCCGCCCGTGCCCCGTGTGGAGCCAAGGCCTCGGCTTTCGAGACCCGGGCCGCCTCCCCAGCCCCGCGCCCGCACCTTCGCCGCAGCAGGTGTAGCAGCCAGAGAAGCAGCAGCAGCACCGACAGGGCCGTCACCGAGGAGAAGACGCGC